GCTACAGGAAAAGAGATTCCATCTCAACATTAGGAGGCACTTCCTGACCGTGAGAGCTGTTCGACAGTGGAATCCCTCAAAGTGTGGTGGAGTCTCCTTCTTTGGAGGACTTTAAACAGAGGCTGGATGGCCATCTGTCAGGGATGCTTTGATTGTGAGTTCCTGCATGGCAGGGGGTTAGACTGGATGGCCCTTGTCGTTTCTTCCAACTCTATGATTCTATATGAAAATGAATAAAGTAATCATAATAATTTGTATATTTTAAAGTATTTTTAGTATTGTTAATGGTTTGATTCTATTTTAATGTTGATACTTTTAGAGTGCATTCATTTTAATTTGTAAGAGCCAACATGGTGTGGTTTGAGCGTTGGACTAGGACCCCAAGAATCCAGGGTTCACATCCCTGCTTACCCATGGAAACACACTGGGTCATCTTGGGTGAGTCACACATTCTCAGCCCCAGAAAATCCCTGTTAGATTCACCTCAGGGTTGCTAGAAGTCAGAAATGACTTGAAGGCACACAACAACAGCAAAGCTACCTTGAATTCTGATTTTGAGGGGGGAAACAAGGTATAAATATTGATGATGATGATGATAAAAATATTATTAAAAGTCATCCAGTTTAAAAATAAGGGAGCTTTTAATTCCTTGTTCTTCCTCTCCTCCTTTTCTTCTGTAGCGATGAAGCCCCGCCGACTGTTCATTGCCACAAAGAGCTTTATGGGGGAAACCAAAGCAGGCGGAGAGGTGAAGGTATCCAAAGGCAGCCTCCTGAGCCAGGAGAACCATCATGGAAGTTCTCCAGATGGAATGTTCTGGGCCAAGATCCTGGACACAGAGAAGGTGGTCCGGGTGCCTCCATGGGCCGCAAGGGAGCTGAGTGGGACCCATTCGGGTCTGCTGGAAGCAGTGACCAACGGAGATGAGCGCTTGGCTCTTCTCCAGCAGGAGAGGTTAATGCGCAGGCTGAGTACCCTTCGGAAGGGGGACCGGGTCAAGGTCCAGATCACATCCGCCTCTGGGCGGAGAGTTCGGGGCATCATCCGATACCGGGGACCCATCGACAAGTCCAAGCATGATACGAGTGTCATCTTTGGGGTAGAGCTGGTGGTAAGTAAATATGAGGGGTAGGTTTGGGGTGGAAGGTCTTTTGCCTGTCTGAGGTCTGTTCAGTGAGTGCTTTTGGGAATCTTGCTAAAGCTTGCCAGACTGGAGCTGTGGGTTTGCTTGTTTTAATTTGTAGGGAAGATTTATTTATTAATTAAAATAATCTCAGGACTAGGCCCTTGTCTCTAGTGGTCACGGTGAGAAAGAAGAATCTCAAGGTGAGAGCATCACCTTGACAATGCACACATGTGTATTTGGAAACACACACATACACGTGTGTGTACGAGAGTAAAGAAAGCTGGCAGATAGGTCATAGAATCATAGAGTTGGAAGAGAGCACAAGGGCCATCCAGTCCAATCCTCTGCCATGCAGGAACTCACAATCAAAACATCCCTGACAGATGGCAGATAATTACCTAATGTGAAGTGTGCTGCTGGAGGAGAAATATATGGATACCATGGACTGCCAGAAAGACAAATAACTGGATCTTAGAGCAAATCATGCTTGAATTAGAAGACTGATCATGATGAGTCTGCCAAATTGGGAGAATTGGAGGGTATGAGATTGAGCCCCTATCCCTGAATAAGCTTCAGAGAGACACATGCCTCGCATAACCTCAGATTACAGGCTTATGGTATAATGGGAGTTGTATTTCAATCAAAGGGAAAATACAGAAATTCAAATCTCACAACCAAGCAATCATAGTTGTAGTTTGCTGTAGTCTTCTTTTGCTTTCCTTCTTTTCAGTGTGGGGGTTCATGGTGACTTACAAAAATTAAAACAAGGCATCTCTTTCTGGATTCCTGCATGCCAGGGGATTGGCATGCTGGTGTTCCTTCCAACTTTGTGATTCCATGACTCTTACTCTCCCTAGAAGCCAAAATGTCTAAAAAGAGACTATCGTACTTTGGACATATCATGAGAAGACATGACTTGTTAGAGAAGACAATAATGCTTGCTAAAGTGAAAGGCTGTAGGAAAACAGGAAGACTTTGTTAAAGGTGGATAGACTCAATCAAAGAAGCTATAGCCTAGGGGTAGGCAACCTTTCCCCTTTAAGGGCCGAGGGACTTCAGCTCCCAGAATCCCAGGAGCTATTGGCCAACATGGGACTATTGGCCAACATGGCTGAGGCTTCTGGGAGCTGAAGTCTCTCGGCCCTTAAAGGGGAAAGGTTGTCTACCCCTGCTATAGCCCTTAATTTGCAGGATTTGAGCAGGGCTGTTGATAACATAGAGACTTGGAGGTCTTGTTTTCATAGGACTGCCATATGTCGAATTTGACTTGATGGCAACTAACAACAGCACAACTACAGTCAAATAGAGAGAGAGAGATAGCTATGGAGCCCTGTAGCTACTGTGAACTGTTTTCCGTTGAAAGGAGATCTTGGAAAACTCTTTTTGATTGGGCTACAACTTCCATTTGTTTTTAAAAGCAATGTGGGCACAGGTGTTAAAAACAGAGTTGAAAAAAAGTATGTGGGGTTTTCTTCTTTCTGTACAATGCAGAGGTTAGAAAACTAAATTTCCAACTAGAGAAATATTTTTGTCTCATTTATGCTGGACTTATTCAGAGGATATAGTAAGCACTATGTTTACTTCTTGTTTTAGAAAAATGCCTCTCTTCACCCTAAAAATTCCCCCTTCATATTTTACATAGGAAATTTGATTTTTTGTTTTATTTTATTTTACCCCCCATGGGCCACAAAAATGGCCCTGGGCACTACATGCAGACTGTGGGCTACATTTTGCCCATCCTTGGGTTGGACTAGGTTTGGGTAAACCATGCTTCCTGTCAGTACTGGAAGGCATCATTGTGTGATCTCAGGCTGCTCATCTCACTCAGTCTAGCCTACCTTGCAGGGTTATTGTGAGGATAAAATGGACAGTGGATAAGAACACAACGCCTTTTTAGAGAACTCTGTTCCCCTCCTTTGTAGGGTTCGGCAGCTGGGAAAGGCTTTACAGATGGCTCCTTCAAAGGTCAGAAGTTTTTCTCGTGCCGGGAGAACTGTGGTGTCTTTGTGCCCGTCAGCCGGATTGAGCCAGATGACTTGGCAGAAGGCAGCCCACCAGCACCTCCAAGAAGCAACATCCGGGAATGTTCTCGGATCCAATTGACATCGGGAGACCCCTTGTTCTCTCCAGGACTAGAGATTGGAGACCGTGTTTTCTTCAAGATGGAAGACACCACCCCTACCGGCACTGTGGTGTACTGTGACCATCTTCCCAACAAATTGGAAACTGGCATCTTTGTAGGGATTCTTCTGGTAAGAAGGTGTAAGTCAGGGGATGGATGGGAGATGGCAAAATGAGGATACAGCCCGACCCTCACATCTGCAAGGGATGCATTCCCAGACTTACCATGGATAGCGAAAACCATGGATAATGGCAAACATATTTTTGCTGAAAATTGACCATAGCTAAACAGTTATATTTTGTTTTGTTTTTAAGGAAGAAAAGCATTGTTTTGATAACCAGTAATAACTTCCAGTCTCCCAGTGGGTTTCATGGCCAAGCTGGGAATCAAACCCTGGTCTCCAGAGTCATAGTCCAACAGAAACCACTAGGCCACACTGGCTCTCCTATGCCTGCTAGTCCTTCTCACAACCAAGCAACCCTGTTTAAGGAGACATGATTACTCCTTCTCCATGCCAAGAGCCCACCCAGGAGAATTAAAAACCACCTTTATATTCTCGTCCTAGGACAAACCGGTGGGTTCGTGGGATGGTCGCTTCAAAGACCATGTCCTCTACCGTATTTCATCTCCAGAGTATGGGATGCTCCTTCCGATCTCAAAAGTATATAAAGGTGAGCCCTGTAAGATCTGCAGCTCTGGGGAAGCTGGTGAGGTTTTTGTTTGTTAAGTGTTACTAGGCACAGATGTATATAGGATAAAAGATTCTTATTGTTGATTTTGTGTATCAACAGAGAGGTGGATATGCATTGGAGAGGAAATTACCAGTGGCAGAAAACTAGAACAAGTTTAAGATGTGTATTTCACTTGATGGTGATTTTTCCTGTTTCTTCCCAGCTCCCCCCCCCCCCATGATAAAAATTACTGGATGCATATTGTGACATTGTTCTTCCCTCCACACTTATATTTTATTCTGCTACTTGTTCAATGGTGCAGCAATGATGTCTCATGGTATTTCCGCTCTAATTTGAGGGCTGAGGAAAGTTCAACTTACAGTCTACATATAATCAGCCCCCTGCTTTTTTAGAGAGAGATCCCCAAAAAAGTAATTTTAAAAATGGCCCACACACTGCCTTGTAATTTCATGACATTTTTGCCTTTCTATTTTTTGAAAAGGGAAGACTTGACTTGATTTCTTGTTTTAAAAATTCACTTTCTGTTATAACATTAGCTTCTCTCCTGGACCTAAAAGGATGGGGGGGGGTGATTTCTCACCACATCCCCTTCTACTTTTGGCAACACAACAAAAATCAAGAAAAAATGTTTTTGAAAATTGGTAGTAGTGATATGGCCCTCTAAGGCTCCATAGAGCGTCAGTGTGCCCCACCAAAAAGACCTGGGAGTCCCCCCCCCCGAAATGTACCAGTAAAAGGTGGGTTCAGAAAAGAGTTGCAGTCTGGTAACTGGACTTAAATTTTGCTCATTTTGCATAATTCTGCTGTTATCCACTGAAAGAGATCAGACATTGAAATCCCACCATGCCTTCCTATTATTATTATTATTAAAGTTTATATCTAGAGCACTGTCAGTGTTCCTATTAGCCTCTTGAGATTTTATTAGGCATTGCCTGCACAGTTCACCCTACTTTCTTAGGGCTATAAACTTGTTCAGTGTTTTATTTTTTGCTTGTTTGGTTTTTTAAAACTGATATTCTTTGACGGCTCAGTTGTTCATTTATCTACCAAACTAAACATCAGAGAAGGCTGATGACTGTATCGATCCAAGTCTTTGAAACTATATTCTAATGCTGTATTGTTGAAATTACTCAGGTATTTTCATTCTCTTCCTCCTACCTTCTCTCCTTAAGAACAAGTCGATAGAAGTCCTGAGACAGTAGCCAACAATTCCTCCTCTTCCATCACAGAGGAATATGAGGATTGCTTGTCCCCATCCTCTATCCGTTATCCTCCTAGAATGGAAGAGAGTTCACCAAAGGAGACCCCAAGGGGAGTTTCTTCTGATGACCTACAAGGATATAAGAAGAAAGAAGTGGCAACTGCAGAGCAGAAACAGAATGAAGATGATGAAGAAGAGGAGGAGGAGGAGGAAGAGGAGGATGAGGATGAAGAACAGTATAGCCACCATCTTCTGGAGATCAATTCCATGGTGGAGGTTAACAATCCACCTATCTATGGGGTGATCCGCTGGATTGGCTCGCTGCCTGATGTGGCTGAGACAGTTGCTGGACTGGAGCTGGTAAGAACAAGGACATCTCCAAGTGGGATATGTAGGATCTGTTTCACATGTTCTTGGAAGTTGCTCAGCTCTCACTACACTAGATAAGTTGGAGTTACCTGGACCTATCTATCCAGGCTTTCCACATGCATGAAATCACAAGGTATGAATCTGGAAGAGATTCTGCACCTCCACCTCCACCTCCCCCACCCCCAACCCATGGATACCAAAATCCATGGATGCTCAAGTCCCATTAAATACAGTGGCATAGTAAAATGGTGTCCTTCATGTAAAATGGCAAAATCAAGGTTTGCTCTTTGGGTTTTTTTAAAAATGTTTTCAAGCCATGGATGGTTGGATACATGGATAAAAAAATCCATGGATGTGGAGGGCCAACTGTAATCAGTTTTTTTTAAAAGCAGGAGTGGGTTGTTTTTCTAATGTCATTTGGTTTAAACCAGCCAAACCTGAGACAAAGAGAAGCAGAACGAGGCCATCATTCCACTACTCTGTGCCTAAAGAACAACAGCAGGAAGGGAAGGAATATCATCTCAGTCCTACCCACCCACCCACTTCATGGGCATAGCATTATGCTCTGCCCTCCTGAGCTAGGAACCTAGCCATTACATTATAGCCTCCAATAAATATAAATAACAGATGGCACAAGCTAGTTTAAACTGTAGGTTAGAGGTGCCGACATTACCATGTTTCGCAAATGCAGTGTTCCTTCTGTGTTTTCCAGGAGGAGCCTCTACCTTCAGGTTGTACAGATGGGCAATACCATGGGATCCGCTATTTCCACTGCCAGCCAAACAAAGCCCTCTTTGTCAAGCTACGCCATTGTCGTCCTGATTCCCGCTTCGGCACTTTGCAACATCTGGAGAATCCTGTTTTGCGATGCAACTCCCTGGGTATGGTGTAAACCGCAGCTGGGAAGTAACATGTTTACAAATAATATTGTCTTTGGTGTGTTATTTTTCAGTGAAACAAGGGCATAGCATTTTTTTTAAAACAACAACAACATTTTAATATTCCACTTTGGAAGGTGCAGGCTAACAAGTGCCATTTACTTGTTACTTCCAAAGTATATCTGACGAGACATTGGGACATTCTTGCTTATTCTAGAAAAATAACATGTTTGCAGATCCCCAAAAGTACACCAAAGGAATGTGGGGCAATTTAAGTTTCTTAAGACTTCAGCCTTTGTTTAGAAAACAAAAATATTGAAATATCAAAAATGTCAAAGCCAAGCCTGGTTAGGGTCTAGCTCAGGGATGGCTAACCTTTTAGAGACCGAGTGTCCAAAACTGCAACCCAAAACCCACTTATTTATTGCAAGGTGCCACATCCCTCTAGCTTTCTAGTAATGAACTCTGGCGAACTCTGTGTTGGGGCAATGGCACACATGCCCACAGAGAGGGCTCTGAGTGCCATGTCTGGCACATGTGCCATAGGTTCGCCACCACTGGTCTATCTTTAAATCAGCAGAGTAGCAGAAACTATGCTTCCCTAAGAACTGCAACTGTGTCAAATACAAGTAGCTTGAAATTCAAATAAAAGTTTACTAATGGCTTTAATCTATATACACATACAGGCTATATCCTAATCTAGCTAGTGAATAGTTCAGGTAAAAAAATCTTTATCTCACCAAAGAAGATGGAGGACCCAACAGGTCTGGAGAAAATCTTTGAGAGTGTGAGCTTCCCAAAAAGGGAGTGACCTAAATCATATGGTTAATTTGAATGAGAGAGAGAGAGAGAGCACAGAGTTTGCATGCAAGAAGTCCCTATCTATCTAAGGAGGGGGAAAGAGAATGCAAAAATCTTGCAGCAAGGAGAGGCCAGGATTTCCATTCCATCCCTATTCTGTATCATTTTGCTCCCTTCTTCCCACCCAGACTTCCGTCTGTATGCCAGTGCCAGAGTGGAAGAAGACACACCTCCACCTCCATTGGGCAACCAGGGCATGGAACATCTCTCAGGGTGGAAGAAAGGGATTCAGGGGCACTGTAATTCCTGTTACCTGGATGCCACTCTTTTCTGGTAAGGCTGTCGTTTGTGATACCGAGTAGTGTAGGAGCCTTGACCCTAAGCCACAAATCCCTGCATCTGATTCCCTGCTTGGCCACAAGATGCCTGTGTGCAAGGTCAGATGGTACTGGAAGACCAACTAAAACACAGAGGTAAGTTAGACCAGAATTAGATCAACTGTTTCAGAGAACAGCAATATGACATTGTGGCCACCATTTTAGGGACCAGAAGTGAGTTACAGGTATAACTCCCAGTTGTATGTGAGTGCTGTTGGAGAGGGTTTCTGTGGTAAGGAGGAAGCAGCATTTTTATGCATCTCCACAGAGGTCAGGAGTATGGAGTTTATCACACGGGGAAAATCCCATGCAGTAACGGGGCTTTAAATTGGAAAAAAAAAACACGCAAAAGTGTTTAGATTTTCAGACGACGTTGCTGTTAAAATGGAGTTAAAATGACGTTAATCTGAATAGAAACTCGTCAAATACTGCTACTTTTTACTTTCAGGATTTTCCGAAAGTAAAAAGAAGCAATTTCTGATGAGTTTCCGTTCAGGTTAACCCCATTTTAACTCCATTTTAACAGTGATGTTGTCTGAAAATCTAACCGCTTTTGCAGTTTTTTTCCAATTTAAAGCCCCATTTCCACACGGGATTTCCCCCGTGTGATAAACTCCTATGTCTGTGGCTGAGAAACAAGAGTTTGGTGCAAAATCTGTACATCACAACACTGGTGTTTCTGTTTGTTTGTTTGTTTATAGCATGTTCACCTTTACCTCTGTGCTGGATTCAATGTTGCTACGCCCAGCAGACAAGAATGATGGGGAATCGTACACTGAGACACGAGATCTGCTCAGAACAGAGATAGTCAACCCTTTGCGCAAGTGAGTTTGTGTCTTCTCCCTTTGCTAAAACACTTGGCTGCTAAATCCTGCTAGTTCCTAGGAACAGTCAATGCCCGAAGACATTGTTTGGGAAATCTTTTACCCCATAGAAGACTCTGGGGGGCTGGAATGTGATACATAATGTGGTACAGTGTGCCCACCTTGGCAGCAGAAGCCAACACAATTTCAGTTTGTGGTTTCCACATCAGCCGGATAGTGATTCTGCTCCAGGTTTTGATCAAATGTTTAAAGGGCTCTCCAAGGTGCTGAACCTTATCACCAAAATAGGTTCAGAATCA